AAGTTTCATTCTTAATTTTAAAAAGTATATTTTTAATTCTTTAACTCTAAAATCGTTAGTCTTAAATGATGACTTTCTGTAACAATTATCATTATTTTGAAAATTAAACTTAAATATGTTAGTTTTTAATAATATTTTATTAACATTCAAGATCTTATTATTTTTTGTTAATAATTTTAAGGTAAACGGAGTAAAAGTATATTTTTTAAAGTAAAAAAACTAAATTAAAACTTTGTGTAAAGTTAAAAGACTAAAAGTATGTTTTAACCTTTATATTATCATATGAGTTAGAGCATATTTAGTACCTTAAAATATTTTATTAAATGTATCCAACATTCTAAATTATTTTCTAGTAGATAAAGTATTTCAAATTACATTAAAAAATATTTTAAAGTACTAAAAAAATATTTTAAATTGCGTTAAATTCAAATTCTCTATTGCTTTGGATTGCGCTAATTTTTCATAACAACTTCTATATTATGCTAAGTGTAAGATTGTTAAAAAAAATATTTTAATATATTAAATGTATTTAAAAATATATTTTAGGATGTTAGATATATTTTAGAAGACAAAATTTAAGTCTATACTTATATTCATTAGATCTATTTCTCTAGTAAAATTGCAATGCATGGGTTTTCTAATAATAAAAGTGATAGGAATAAAATTTTAAAATTCTGGTAAACCAAGCAAATCCACTTACTTTTTAACTGTAGAGCTTTCAAATTAAAAGAAAGGGTACTGTGCTTTAGTGGATGAGAAAGAGGGGCATTGTTGGAAGTGAAAGAGCGAGAAATTAATTAATGGAGAAAGAATTGTTAAATATAAAAACTTGTGGGACCATGTAAGGGTGAAGTTAGATGAGCTGCCTCTCTTTTATTAGGCTGATTGCAAATGCTGTGGTGCGCAAAGTTCGCATACGAATTTCTCGATATGATTGATGTGACTGTAAATAAAAATGTTCATCAGTCACTATTGGTAGCTACTTATTGTACTTCTTGCTTCTTTTCTCTGTAATTTCTGTGCTCTTCCTCTCTTCTTGCTCTCATTTCTTTCTTTAATCATAAAAATCTTTTGATGCTCTTGTTCTTTTGTTTTGAGTTGCTTTTCTCCTTCTCATTTAGAGAAAACAAATCAAGAAAAAGACATCTAAGAGCTTTGGGTTTTGTTTCAAAGTTTGTCGATTGAAAGAACCTATTTTTTTTTTTTTCCAAGCTTTATTTTCTGGCACTTGAGTTGTTTTCTTATTCTTATCTTTGTCTATTGTCATTATTGTTGTTTAGCTCGTTCTTACTTAGAGGGGAAAAAAAAAAAGTTGTGTTGAAATCTTCTTTCTCTTTTATTGTTGTTCTCGTAATTCCTTTTCTCAAACCACCAAAAAACAAAAAGAGAAAGAAGAAGAAAAGACTTTTATATCAGAAGCACTGCAGCATAGAAACCTCCAAGAGGTAAGGATTTAAACTCCATGATACTTGTGAATCCTCTTTTACACATATATGTGCTCTCTTAAACTTTTTTTTTGGTTTTAACTTGCTTTTATTTCTTAGATCTTGATCGGTCATGTGAGTCATACTTGAATAATTCCTATTTACAGGTTAATATATGCATAGTTTTGGTCGTAGATTTCATTTATATTCATAGAAACTTCATTCTACGATAGCTTTGTTAAATTATAAACTAAAGTGGGTTATGCGTATTTATATATATTATAGAATTAACTGCATCTTCTACTATTTGTGAACAATACGGCTCTTTATACTTTTTTATAAATCAATAACTTGCATGTTTTTATGTTTTTTTTTTATCATCAATGGTTTAAGCAACGTCGTCAGACCAAAAAAAAAAAAGGCAGTAAAAATCACAATTAAAAAAAAAACTGTCAGCAAGCCAGCTTATTTTTTTTTAATCACTGACATTTGAATTGAATAATTAAAGAGCATGTTTCTTTGAGCTTCTCAAAGTAATTTTTGGACCGTTAAAACGTGATTTATAATAGAAGAAAAATTAGTTTCCCAGTTCTTATAGTTTACTTGAATTTTGAATCAAGTCCCTGCATTTTTTTTAAATTTTTTATCAAGTCCTTTAAGTTTACACAGTTAGCTTTATTAATCCCTACTGTTTAAAACCACTAGAAAAGAGTTAACACCGTTAAAAAAAATCTGTTAGGCAACATGACCTGGCAGCCAGGCACACAAATAAATTTGACTAAGCATTGAGTTGCAAAAGTAAAGCACAGAAACAATAAGTTAATAAAAGTATAAGTTGTTTTACATTTATTACAATAATAAAAAGCACTAATGAGTTTTCAATAATATTTTTTGGGGACAAAATTGTTTTATTTTTTCGTTAGATAATTAAAAATGGAAAGAAACTCCTAAATGTATTTTCGTTCTTTTTCGATTAATATTTTTACATCTTTAATTAGCTCTCTTCTGCACCAATTTTCTTCAGCCACCATTGATTAGAAGCATTTCTTGCTATTAAAAACATGATTGCTTTTATAAAAAGCAAGAGAAAAGTCTCCTATTAAAAATTTTACTAGTGATAAGGACTTGATAGATTTTTGTACACAGAAAATATCAAGACTTTGCAGCACACATAATAGTAATACTGATATTTTGATTCAGGTCCTCCTCACTAATAAGATTTTCAATATGGAAATTTTTCTCAAATTTTTCTTATTCTTATGATCTTATCTAAATTTTTATCTCTTTACAATTTAGGTTATCATTCCCTTAATTTTTCTCTGACATTTGGATAATGTTGCTTTTTTATTAGGGTCAAACCAAGAAGCAAGCAGAAGGTCCTTCCTATCATAGACTTTGAAATACTCGGACAAGAGTCAAGAAGTAAGCATAGAATTTCATAATATTAATATTACGAGCTTCCAAATCAACGTCTTTAATATCACGAAAAAAACAATAAATTAACAATATAATTTAGCGACCCAATTTTATTCTGTTACTAATTTCATGATTAGAATTAACAACATAATTATTCTGTCAAACAATCTATCAATAATCCATCACTAATTCTATTATAAAGTATTTGGTAATGGACTGTCATCAAAATATTTCTGCAAAATTATCAATTTCTATTTCTCAATGTCATTACTAAAATGCTTGTCATCAAAATATTCTATCATTAATTTTGTGACTAAACTGTGGTTCATCCCGTCCCTCCCTCTCATCCTTCACGTCATTGTGATCATGAGAGTACGGGAGATACAATTATTTGACTTAAATTATAAAAACCATTCATTTATTTTAAAATTGTGCGAACATTCTTTGAAATTAAATCATATGTTATACAAATCTTTCTTATATAATTGATATGCCATTTTCGTTCATCTAAATGTTAGTTCTCTTAAAGTTTGACTCTTAAAATTTTGTTTTGACAAAATACACCTGCTTAACATAAAAATTATTTAAATATTTATATTATATTTTTCAAATAAATATTTTTTATACAAAAAAAATAACTTTAATACATATATTTTCAAGCTTTCTAATATGTTGTAAAGTTAATTTTGATTATATTATAAATTTTTTAATTTTAATTTTTCATCACATGTATTGGAACTTATTTATCGAGTTTTTTTTTTCAAATTAATGGCTAACAAATATTTCAAACACATTTTTTTCATCATATATTATAATTATAAATGATGCAAGATTGGGAGATTATATAAACAATTTAAATTTAAAATATAAATTTTTTAACAAAGCTTTAGTTACAAACACTTATAAACATACTCAGTCAGTTATATTTTTTTTTCAAAAATTAATCAAATTTTCAATCAAGTTTTTTCATGTATACATTAAGTAAAGGGTAAATATCATCTCTAGTTTTTAAAATTTGATCTTATTTTAATTTTAGTTTCTAAAATTTCATACTTTCATGAACAAAAAAAAATGTTCCATAAACAAAAAATCTGTAAACAGATCAAAATAAAGTTAAATTTTAAAAATCAAATGCACTTGTTTCAAATTTTAAGGACCAAATTAAAACTAAAACAAGATCAAATTTTTACAACTAAAGATGATATTAATCGTTGACTAAATTATTTAAACTTCTTTTCTAACATGATAAAAACATTATAAATATATCTATTTACAAAAGTAAATAAAAAATCAAGGAAAAGGGAAACTTTTAAATGCTTTAAAATATTTTAGCCAAAATTAAAAATTTAGTATCATGATGTAAACTAGTAAACAAAAGTACTTTAATATAAATTTAATTAAAAAGTATCTTTTGAAATTTAAGTGTATGTTATCACAATAGATGATGGAAAATCATGTGAGCAAGACAAAATGTAATAGATTAAAGGTTGAAGTATTTTACTGTAAAATTTAGAGTCATATGCGGAAATCAAATTATTTGCAACGGCATTCTATTGGTGTGGGTGTGGCTTTTGGAGAAACCAATAAGATTTATGGTTATTGAGTTTTCCAATTTTTGATTTGTGGTCTCTAGAAATAAGTTCTGATATTATGCTAACATAATAAATTTATTTATTAAGGTAAAAAATGTTCATGTTATTAGATATTTCCATTTAAACCTACTACATAAACTGACAAAAGAAACAAATACATATATTTACATATTTTTAATTCTCACCACTTTTTTCTTTCTAATTTATAGTGACTTCAGATTTTTGTATCAACCTAGCAATGTTATGGAGCACATTCTAAAAGACTACAATAACTTGTTAGAAGAGAGAGCTCTTTAGATTTATAAATCGAACTTTCTTCTAAGGCTTGAGGCTCATAACATTTTGTGAGTGCAATGGATTGTCAAACTAACTTCCCTGTCATATTTATATTGGATTGTTTCATCTAAAACATAGAGGTTACGAAATTTTGTGCACTATACAAGTACTAAGATTTTGATTACTATAATTTGTTTTTTATGCTAAATATTGGATCATAGTATAGTTGTGCCTGAGGTATCACGATATGACCTTGTTGTTTTTGTAATTGTAATCTCATTATGTATGATAGATGGCGGAGATTGCTGCCAGTAGTGCTGCTGCAACAAAATGTACTGATATATTGGTAGACAAAGTAACAAAGGAACTTCCATATTTGTGTTGTTACAAAGTTATGCAGCTGAATTTGAAGAGAAAAAAGGAGAATTGTCAGCTGCAGTGGAGAGTGTGGACATGAAGATAAAAGAAGCCAAAAGAAGGAATGAAACTCAAATTGACCCTTTAGTTAAGCATTGGGTTCGAAAAGCCAACAACTTCATTCAGCAAGAAACAAGACCAAAGAAATGGTTTGGTTTCTGTAATGATTGGTTTTCGCAATATTCACTGGCGAAGAAATTAGAGCGCATCATGCAAGAGATTCCAACAATAATGGAGAAAGCTGAGAACTTCTCACAAGTTGCACGTGCAGCTGGACCTCCAGGCATGGAGTTCTATTCACAAGAGTTTATGCATTTTAAGAGTAGAAACTTAGTTTATGAACAACTTAGGGAGGAGCTGAAAAATGACAATATACATAGGATTGGATTGCAAGCAATGGGAGGATCAGGGAAAACCACAATGACAAAAGCAATTGGTAAGGAACTTGAAAATTCAAAGGCATTTGATAAAGTTGTCTTCATTGAAGTGCCTAATCCTGTTGACGAAAAGAAGATTCAAGATGAAATTGCAAAAAAATTGGAGTTGAAGTTGGAGGATGGCAAGGATTTAACACACGCAGAACAAATATGGATCAGAATCACTAATGCTGGAAGTGTACTCATAATACTTGATGATGTCTGGGAAGAGCTCAAACTTGAGAACATGGGGATTCACCATGGCATCCATAGCCAGGGCCGGTGTTGTGTCTTGCTAACCACACGTTATGAGACAATTTGTAGAAGAATGAGCTGCCAAAAGACTGTTAAACTAGGGCTCTTACCTGAGGAAGACGCAATGAATCTTTTCCTACATCATGCCACTGAAAATGGGAAGGATTGTCCTAATAAATTGAAGTTGCTAGCATCAAAAGTTGTGATTGAGTGTGGAAACTTACCAGTTGTAATTGTAGCAGTTGCACGAACCTTTAGAAATTGGGATCCAAATGAATGGGAGGATGCTTTTGCAGTAATAGAAAAAGATTCATCCTTAAGGCATGGGAACATTGATGAAGAAGTGAAAAAGTTTTACAATTCTCTGAAAATAAGCTTCAAGTATCTAGATAGAGGAGCGCAAGATCTCATCCTGCTATGTTCTATATTCCCAAGAGCTTATGAAATACCAGTAGAGGTTTTAAGCAGAATTGCTATAGGTTCAGGGCTGAGTGAAAATGTTGGCAGCTACTATAGAGCAAGAAGTGAAGTGCTTTCAATCAAAACCACACTCGTACGTTCTGCTTTATTGCTCACTACTAGAGAAGGATTTGTAAAGATGCACGATGTGATTCGTGATATAGCCCATCAAATAGGAGATGAAAAGATTCAAGTAATCATGGATTCTAAAAGTAAATTGAAGGAGAATGTAAAATATTCATCCTGGATGATAGATGACTTTTCCAACTCTTTTGAGGGCATTAATCTTGAGGTTCTTTTAGTATGGGTAAATAATGCAAGTCATTCTTTGGGAGTTCCTGAGGCATTCTTTGGAGGTATGAAGGGACTTAGAGTTTTGCTTTTGTGTTCTAAGGTTAAGTTTCGGAGAACATTGGCCTTGTCACTACCAAAATCAATTCATTCACTTGAAAATATCCAAACACTGTCCCTAACAAATTGGGAGTTGGGTGATATATCTATTTTGCAAAACCTTAAAAAACTCCAAACTCTTGAATTGACAAATTGTTCAATTAGTGAATTGCCAAATGAAGTTAGCCAACAGGAGAAACTGAGGTTGCTAGGCTTGGTAGATTGTTCAATCGAAAAGAATAACCCGTTTGAAGTGATTGGGAGATGCTCAAAACTTGAAGTATTGTATTATATTTCAAATCATGACACTCTTAAAATTAATCCAAAGCCTTCTAAAATTATAGATCTTGATCAAGAATTTAGAATATATCATGTAGAAGGCAACTACTCTTACCAGCGTTCTTTTCAATTGGATGCTTCAACAAAAAGATATTTCAATTCAACCAAGTTAAAAGGGATCTTGTCTGAAAGCACAATCAAATCCCTGGCAGCAAGAGCAGAGATTCTTGAGTTAACAGAATGTAATGATACAAGATGGACAAACCTTATTCCTGACATAGTTGATCCTCAAGAAGATGAAGGCATGAATGGCTTAATTAGGCTTTCTTTGAAATCTTGGCCTGCAATACAATGCCTCATCAATACAAGTGGAATTCAATCTCATGCAACCATCTTCTCAAACTTAGTTGAGCTACGACTTTCTAACATGTGTGTGAGGGAATTATGTCATGGTGATTTTCCTAATGACTTTCTCAAGCAACTAGAGAAGCTATACATAAGTGGTTGTGCTGAAATAGACGGCACACTATTGAAGGGCAAGCTAGAGCTAAGTAGTTTGAAGTCTATAGAGTTAAATGGTTGTTCGATGACATATCTTTTCTGTCTATCCACAGCTCAAAGTCTAAAGCAACTGGAAAATTTGGACATAAGCGGATGCTCAAAGATGAAATGCCTAATAAGTGATGATAAGAGATCTGCAGAGCAAAAAGTGGACGATCATCATGATTGTAATCAAAAGACCCATCACTCAATGTTCCCGAAATTGAGGTCTCTGAACATTGAAGAATGTCATGAGTTGGAATTTATATTGCCAATTTTTCCTTGCAAAGAGCTAGAAAGTGTGAAAATCCGTGGTTGTAATAAGCTAGAATTCATATTTCGGCAATGTTTAGAGGAGGGAGGTATGCGTCAAATGGAAAAGGAAACCATACTCCCCTCACTACAAGAAATAGAAATTGCAAACGTACCCAAATTCATCAACATATATCCAGAATATTATTCCCACAGTCTTCTCAAGTGCAGAAATCATGGGGCCCTCTGTGTCGTTTATCTTCAAAAGCAAGTGCCTTTAGCATCAATGAACTATCTTTTTCCAGGGCCAATCAATTGAACCTTACTCAGGTACTTTGTCTCACTTTTTTTGGTTACTATGATTGTGATTTTGTAATGTAATAACATATTGACAAATATTTTAATGTAACATAGGCATTAAAGGAGAAACATCTCGGTAAAGCTAGTGGACTTTTTACACCTTCATTATGTCCATACAAGAATTTAAGAAAGATGAGTGTAGAGGGATTTTCTGAGTTGAAGTCACTTCTTACCCTGTCGATTGCCTCATCATTGAAATTGTTAGAAGAATTAACAATCAGTAAATGTGGTGAACTGGAGCACATAGTCACAGATGAGGGGCATGCTTACAGTCATATGAATGATTGTTGTATCTTTTCCAACTTAAAGCAAGTTGAAGTCTTCAATGCTGAAAAGTTGAAATATGTGTTTGGAAAATGTCATTCCAATCAAAGGCATAATGTTCATATTGAACTTAATCTCCTAGATCTCAAAAGACTAAGCCTTCATGATGTGCCAAATATGGTGAGTATTTGCACCAAAAAGTATTCTGTGAAGGCATTATCTCTACAAGATATAAGTTTGAAAAACTGCCCACAACTTCCCATAAATAATGTTATAGATTTATCCATTGATGTGCAAAAAAGAGATCACCTCTCAAAGGAAAAGGTAAACCTCTTTCCTGCTATTTTTTTTCAGTTTGTGAATATTTAAGTAGAGAAAATTTATTCTTTTGTGTGAAGATTTCTACTTGTGGTAGCTTTTTGTGTGTGTATAGACACATATATTATTGATTTTGATGGCTTGTTCAAAAATATGCCTTATGTTAGTAGTAGGTTACTTTTTCACCTCTGACTTCCACTTTAAAACATTTATATTGTTCAATTTTTTCTTGTTATTTTACTTTTTCATTTGCAGAAGTATTTAGAATGTTGAAATTTACATTCTTTATAATTTTTATTATAAAAGTTGATGCCGTATAGATTAAAATATATAATTTTGGCTTCTAGGTAATTGTTTAAAGAAAAAATCACAAATAAAGATTTTGAAAAATATAAAATTGCAATTTGGATTTTTGAATTCAAAAAGTTATTAGTAGGGACCTCATCTTAAATTTGAATTATGAAATATTGAGTATAAGACCAAGTTGCCTTCCTATTGAAAATAACAAGTGAACTATTGGGAATAACAAGCATAGCATTTAAAATTACAAGTGAAGTATTTCAAATAATAAATTTGTACTACGAAAAAATAAGTACAATTTTAGGAATTACAAGTTAAGTATTTCAAGTAACAATCTAAGTAGGAGGGCAATTTGGTTTTTATACAATATTTGCTAATTTATATTTAAGAGCCAGTTCTTGACAACAATTTTAGGATTTGAAGAATCCAAATTGCAATTTTATATCTTCTATGGCCATTATTTGCAATTTTTCCTTGTTTAAATAGAAAATAATAGAAAAGCAAAAGATAGAAATTTCAGTTTGAGCTCAATTTATATCAAAAGCGAGCATTTCTTTTGTTTACAATATGAGAAAAATTAGGGGAGAAATTCAAAATATTTATATATTATAAGTTGTTAGAAAAGCTGAATAAAATTTCTCTTGAATTCTTCTTGGTTTCACAAGTTCTGTAAAGAACCAGAAAAAGTATTTTCTATTTTTTTTAAATATAACAACATACTAAAATGTTCTTTATTAGTTTATTGAAGAAGAATTCATATGTATTTACCAGGAAAAAGGAAAAAATGAATTAACATGTTTGTATTTAACCAAGGCATCCAAATCAAAGCACGTGCCAAGTACAGCTTCTGGATATTTTCCACTACCATTATCTCAATCCAATTTGAGAGGGATTGAGATAACTGGATTTTCCAAGTTAACATCACTCTTTACCATATCCATTGCCTCATCACTGAAGTTCTTGGAAACATTGTATGTCAAGGAGTGTGATGCACTGGAACATATTATAACAGACGAGGGGCCTAATGGTCAAGGTCATATGAATGTGCACTCTATCTTTCCTAACTTACAACAAGTCTATATTTGGAGCTGTAACAATTTGGAATTTTTATTCCCAGCTTTTTATTCAAAAGACTTTAAGGAGTTGGGATATGTGAGCATCGGGAAGGCAGAAAAGATGAAATATGTATTTCGAGAATGTCATGCTGATCAGAATCATAATGTTCAGAGTAAACTTAATCTCCCAGCCTTGAAAACAATATACCTTGTAGATTTACCAAATATGGTTAGTATTTCCACAGAAAATTATTACGTGGAGGTATTAAATCTAGAATATATTAGTATTGAAGGATGTCTACAGCTTCCTCAAACTTTTATAGATTTCTTGGTTGGTGGACACAAAAGACAAGAAGATCTCTCAAGCAGAAAGGTAAACCTCTCTGCCGTTTGCTAGCTTATAATCAATCACCTAAAGAGACTCTTTAAGACTAACATATCTCAATTGTATGCTTACAGGCATTATCTTTCAAGGAGAAAGGTAAGGCACTTTCGAACTTGCAAGAGTTGGCTGATTTAAGGGATATATATGTGGGACCTAAAATCTCTTTGAGCTTTCAAAACCTTTCTGTTCTAGAATTTGAAAAATGCAAACAGTTGAAGTTCATACTGTCTGCTTGTACCACGAGAAGCATACCAGAACTGAGAAGGCTATTCATATCAGACTGTGAAGAGTTGGTGAGCATAATTGAGGATGATGAAGAGAATCAACAAAATCCTTTGGATCTGCATCAACCATGTTTCCCAAAGCTATGCCATATTCGAGTAAAGCACTGCAAGAAGTTGAAATGCTTATTCTCTGTCTCTACATGTGCTAAACTTCCATGTCTCTTGACGTTGGAGATAGAAGATGCTCCTGAGCTTGCTCAAGTATTTGAATGGAAGCAGGGCGCGCCGCAAGAGTTGGTCATCAAGGATGTGCTTCCAAATTTACTTGCAATAAGACTGGTAAAACTACCAAGTCTTCACACTATCTATCATGGAATTGATTTCCAAACTGTGAAAATCCGTATTGTGCAAGATTGTAACAATATCCCTTCACCTAATGTCAGCTCCTCTGAGAGTAAGTATTCACATATACGTAGTTAATCGAAATCATTAACTGCTACATATGATTTCTTCTCATAGTAATGATAACGAAATTGTGGTTTTGCTTGTGCAGTATTTGATTATCTCGATTATTCTTTTCCACAAGAAAAGACCTTCAACTACACATACGGTATTATTCAGGAATGGGCTTGCGAGGTTAGTGCCAGACTTCTATTAATTTTGGTAGAAATTCAATACTTCCCCCACTTTTCTTATTTTGTGGGCGAAGATTACTATTTTTATGTTTATATATATATATATATATATATTCTATTATTGTTCAGATTGAAGAAGAGGAACCACAATATGTTGGAAATGACTCAGCAATGCCCCAACAGAGCAGTGGTTCTCCAAATTTTGAAAATGTACGTGTTTATACTTCCCTATGACTAAGCATACTTAAGAAACTAACTAATGAATTCTCTCTTACCTCATTGTCTTATCCATTTATTCCAAATAAATCAAGATTTTTTTTTTATGTTGTGTGTTTAGATTTAATATATTACAGTTATTAATAACATCAAAGCTCAGTTTACCTTCTTTTTATTATACCATTTTTTTTTTATGTTTAGAGTAATGAGTTATCAAAGGAGATTGCTAAAAAAGGCACCGCAAATTCGTCAAATTTTATAGAGGTATGTACATTATGCTTTTCTATGACAATAGTGACCCAGACCAACAAACAATTTCTCTTTTTATTAATGTATATATATTGTATGCTTCTTAATTATTTTAACCATTTTAGAAACTGACATATTCATAATTTATGGGCTATGTAGAGTGCCAACGTATCAGGAAATGAAATTGTTGAAGAAAAGCTCTCTACAACTCTATCATCTAACTCAGTTGTGGTAGGGTTATTCTCAATTAATACTTTCACCGTTTTATATATATACACACACTCAGTCTTTTTTCCCAGTTATATATGCAGCAATGTAGAAATGGAAATGTCTTATAATAGTAATAATTTGTAGTATTTTTATTGAGCTTTTTCCTCAATTAATAAAAGACTTTCTTCTCGATTAATTGAACTTCTTTAGCAACTTATTCGTATTTTATGAACTATACAGAATACTAAGGTATCAACAGATGAAATTGTTGAAGAACAAATTCCTACTTCAGATACAGCAGCAATTCCACCATCAAAGTCTGATAGGGTAAGAGTCTTTCCTCAACAAATGCTTTTGTACTTCTACATTTATCAAAGTTGACGCTATTGGTAATCTAATTAAAACAAATTTAAGAAACAAACGAAGTATTCAAGAAGGTACCAAAATAAGAGGAAGCTAGAAAAGCATATTAAATCATGAATTCAAAATTAAGTAATACATCACAAATAGCATATGCTATTCCTTTATAAAATAAATAGTAAGAATATAGTCCTTCCTGATGTGGGTTGAGTTAGCTCCTAAACGACATAACCTTGTGATAGTTTTTACATTTTCATGTTCATTCAGGATAATTTGGTTTACAATGTAAGTTCATCAACTCATTCTGAGCTAACAATCTCAAATCTAGGCACAGCAGTTTTTATAAAGGTAGGTTTGTTTCATTAGCTTTTTGCTTTAAAAATATCACTTGTTGCTTGATTATTCCTTTACTTAGGAGTTATGTGAAAAGGAACCAATGTGTGATCAACAAGCACTTGGAGAAAGTAGAAGCTCCAATGAAGCTCCTCAAAGAGTTGAAGAACCTACTAATGAATGCCCTTCCAAAGAAACATCAAATAGAATGGCAATGATGATTCCAGAAAATTCTATTACTGGAATGAACCCTCCACTGGTAAATACTTGGTTTTCAATATATTTGCATTATTGATACATTATTTATTTTCATTCAGATTAACCTTTCTATAATCTCTAATCTCTTTGATCTCTTCAATATGTTCTCCAAAAAAAGCCTCAAGAAAAAACTTCAGCTCCTCACGTGGAAATGGAATCAGGCAGCTCTACTATTACTGATCAATCTGCACAAGTAAGCCTTCATGTTACTGCATCAATTTCGGGATGGAATTTATTCTTTAAAGCTGGTATATACTAATGCTAGAATAGAACAATTTGATAATCAACTGGTAGTTCCCTTTTTAATGAAGCAAATGGTCCCGTATTTTAGAGACACTATACATTAACTTCATTACAGTTTAATTAATACATAAATAAAATAACACCATTACAATTTAATACATAAATAACTAACTTGTATGAACTATTATTTTCAGTATGCACCTAATTAAGAAGGTCAACAATTATTAATTGTGCTTCTATTGTTTAGACATAAATGTGTTGTGGGCCATTTTATTTTATTATATTCTATTCTATAGGTTACAATAATGGTTGTTTCATTTGATTTACTTCAACAGGATAAAATCATGGATCAACCAGGGACCTCCATTAAGAATCAAATTAAGTTTGACCAGGGAAACCGTTGTCAATTTGCAGAAGATGATCTGATGAGATTATTCCAAATAATGGAGGAAGGTGCTGAAATGGAAGTTGACATGCCTTATGGATCCAAAATTGCAGCATTTGAAGATGATAACGAGCTGAGTAAAGCTCTCACTGACTTGGGAACCTCATTGAAGATGAGTCTAAGTGAAATAGCTTGCTCTGAAGAAGGCAAACTTCGGCTTGAGAATGCTCTTAACATCTTGTCATTTCATTGTTTTGAAGATGGAGCTCCCTTTCATGGCCTTCAAGCTACAATTCATTCTCTGCAACAAGAAATCCAAACTGTTCTATCTTCCTCCAAGAAAGCCTATGCCACTATTGACGCATTCAACAAGCTTGAAGAAAAAGAGAAGCTTGCCATTGAAGAACGTTCAAAGAGAAAGGAAGCAGCAATTGCTCTTCTGTCTGAAATTCACAATAAAGAGAGTTATTTGGCTGAGGCTCGGCTAAAGGAAGCAGAGTTGAAGAAGACAATCTCAAAGTTTCAGGCTAAACTATATAGCAAGGAAAAAGAAATTCAAGAGTGTGAGATGGAACTGTTATCTCTGAAAGAACAGAAGAAAAAGAGTGTTTCTGACACAATGGGATTCATAAAGGAGTTTGAGGAAGTGAAGGAAAAAAAGTCTCACATGGTGGAAGAAAATATAAAAGCAAAGCAACAGTTACAAAATATGGATGTCAAGTGGTCTTCCTGTCTATCCAATTTGAAGAAAACCACACTGTTGCTAGGAGTTCATCTTCAACAGAAGTTTTGACTGTTGGAGACTGATATTTATATTTCCTAAAAACAGTATTAAAAAAATTGACAATGTTGTATGTTTATTAGTTGGGTTGTCACCCATATGTGCTTCTGAGTCCATGCAAAAACATCCCATCCTTTTATGCTACTTGATTGTATATTATTGAAAAATTGCAAGTTAGTAAACTGTTATGACTCACTTGAAATTATAAGCATGCTTAAAGATTTCTGAAGAGTTACTTTTGATGGGACTGTACTTAGTTTGAGAAAAGCAGTATATTACTGCAATATTGATAGGCATGCTCTAGAAGGATTGTTGGGCCTTTAATTGAATAAGTACTATTTGAGTTTTATGGCTTTCATATTGAACGCCTCATGGTATGCTATCAAATATTTTAGGATCCCTTGTTAAATTTGGATTGCTTCTTTTTTTAACATAGCATAATTAAAATGATTTAACTTTTTGTTTGTGAAAAATCCTACTTATTTAAAGTATGATTGTGTTGTTATGTTTTGATCCCACTTGTTTGTGAAAAATTCCACTTATTTAATAGAGAGAAGAAAGTAAAACAAATAAAGCAATTGAATATTAAAAATGAGGTTGGCTAAATATGTTGTACGATTCTCCATGAAGTTGAATTTTTGGCCCAAAAAACAAAAAGAGGAAGTTAACTTGATTTTTTTGTTTTTATTAAATTGAAATCCTCTATTTTCAGGCGAATGCAGCATGGAAGTCTGATCTTATGAATCTCTATGCTTTTATCAAATAAGATAACTTATGAGAATAGTTAATGAAGGAGTAATATTCAAAAGCTGATATACAGCAATTCGTGTATGAAAACATATATAGAGTCCTCTGCAATTTAGAGCAGAATTACAACTGGAAATCTGAGAAATAATAGAGTTCATGGGGAAAGATTTGAAAAAACGTTATAAACAACATGTTTTTAGAGGAATACCGTAACACTAATTGGAATAGTTAAGTATGCTACTCTTTAACAAAGGAAGTGGCTCCATAAAACGTGAACTGAATATATACTTTAATTGAAGAAAATTTCTTGCTAGAAGAACTTGAGGAAGGTTTCAGAATGATAAAATGAAGTCAAATTTTTGAGTGGTGATTGATCAGGTCCTCTACTTTATTGTCAATGGTTTGTCGCATGCGGAAAAGAACCCCAAAGACAGAACAAAGAACTCAGCAGTGCCTAACGATTTCTATCCAATGAATTGTCAAATTGACAAATGTTTTGCGGAATGGTAACATTGTGCCACCTTTAATTTTGATATATCTAATTCATCTTGAAAATAAGTTTAAATACATAATTACTTGGATTAAGATTCAATTTTGTCTTAAAAGTTGCGTAGGAATTATTGGTATCTGGAAATTTTTTTATTA